TGTTCCTCCCATGCCTGCTCCCTGCCCCTGTGCCGTCTCAGGCTTCCTAATACCAGCAGCTCCCAGCAAGGTCCCTCAGGCTTCCTAATACCAGCAGCTCCCACAAGGCCCTCAAATAATGGGTGCTGGCATCACTCAGAGGCCCTGAGCGGTCAGAATTTAGCACAGAGCCTATGACCAAAGAGATCTGTAGAGATGTAGCTGCTGTAGCTGCAGAAAGTACAGGGGACAGAACGAGCAGCACCACGCCATGTTTAGTTGCCTCCTGGCAGATGCTGCTGGCAGAGCATCATCCTCACAGATTCTGGCCTCGTCTTGACCTTCCTCCTCACATGGGGTGGGGCTTCTGGGTGGTGCAGTGGGGTGGGGTGGTGGGAGGGAGGAGCGCAGGAAGGGCTGTTTGACCCAGGTCCACATTCCAGTGCTGTTTGTGCCCCAGGAAATGCCATCACATCCACCCAGCGGGAGGACAGACATTCCAGTGTGCCCTTTAGTGGGGAGGTCACAACTGTGCTGAAAACAACTGTCACTCACAGCCCCAAACACCTGTGTTCAGCACATGCTTCAACACTGCCCCCAGCCCATTGTCCTGATGCTGCCTGACTGTGGCCTGTGGGATCATAAAACCCAACCAGCAAATATCACCGGGCACATGGCCGGCTGTGTGGAGAAGCAGCTTCCTCCCAGCAAAAACTTCAGCACGCAGCACGCATGCCATCTGCAGAGCACACCGCAGACACACACCAGGCCTCCTGCCTCGCACAGAGGCCAGGGCAGGCAGGCCCCTGGAGGAACTCTGTAAGCAGCCGAGTTGTCCCAGAGCCGGAATAGGAAAGTCTTTTTAGCACACACACACACCATCACCACCACCACCACCATCACCACCACTACACCACCACCACCACCACCACCACCACCACCACCACCACCATCACACCACCACCACCATCACACCACCACCACCACCATCATCACACCACCACCACCACCACCATCACACCACCACCACCACCACCACCACCACCACCACCACCACCACCACCACCACCACCACCATCACACCACCACCACCACCATCATCACACCACCACCACCACCATCACACCACCACCACCACCATCATCACACCACCACCACCACCACCACCACCACCACCACCACCACCACCACCACCACCACCACCACCACCATCACACCACCACCACCACCATCACACCACCACCACCACCACCACCATCACACCACCACCACCACCATCATCACACCACCACCACCACCACCACCACCACCACCATCACACCACCACCACCACCACCACCACCACCACCACCATCATCACACCACCACCACCACCACCACCACCACCACCACCATCATCACACCACCACCACCACCACCACCACCACCACCACCACCACCACCATCACACCACCACCACCACCACCACCACCACCACCACCATCATCACACCACCACCACCACCACCACCACCACCACCACCACCACCATCATCACACCACCACCACCACCACCACCACCACCACCACCACCACCATCACACCACCACCACCACCATCATCACACCACCACCACCACCACCACCACCACCACCACCATCACACCACCACCATCACCACCATCACACCACCACCATCACACCACCACCATCACCACCATCACACCACCACCACCATCACACCACCACCACCACCACCACCACCACCATCATCACACCACCACCACCACCACCACCACCACCACACCACCATCACACCACCACCACCACCACCACCACCACCACCACCACACCACCATCACCACCACCACACCACCATCACACCACTACCACCAAACTTTTACATAAAATAAATGGATAAAGGGACTTATGACTAATCTCAATTTTTAATTTTCTGTTCTTTTAATCTCTGTCTGGATCAGAGGCAGCCAATGTAGCTTAGGAGGGCAGAGGCAGTAGGGCCAGCCACACATAGATTCAAATCCTGCCTCTGCCTTTTCACTAGCTGTGGGACTTTATGTGAGTGACTTAACCCCTGAGCCTGTTGCTAGTGTTTCCTGCCCACTGCTCATGTTTTCCCGCTCAGGCCTGGCACTGGTAAGTATATTCCATAAATGCCCCTGCTCCTTCCACTCCCTCTGCTGTAAGGCAGCATTTCTTTTATTCTCCTTGCAAATCCTGGGGCCTCACAGACTTTGTGATTTCCCCCCATCCTAGTTCAGTTTTCCAGTTCATTTACTTCTTACTTATCTCTTTCCAGTCCTTGGCATGGATTTAAAGATATTTGTGAAAGTGATTCCACTTCTGGGAATTTATTTGACAAGACCTGAAACACTAATTAGAAAGAATATATGCACCCCATGTTCATTGCAGCATTATTTACAATAGCCACGATTTGGAGGCAGCCCAAGTGTCCATCAGTAGACGAGTGGATAAAAAAAGTTGTGGCACATTTACATAATGGAATACTACTCTGCTATAAAAAGGAAGAAACTTTTATCCTTTGCAACAGCATGAGTAGATCTGGAGAACATTCTGCTAAGCAAAAGAAGCCAGAGAAAAACAAGTACTATATGATTTCATTCATATGTGGGATTTAATGAATAAAAACTTAATGAACAAACTGAACTACCAAGCAAAATAGAGACAGACTCATACAGCTCTGGTGGCAGGGGTAAGGGTGGGGGATGAAGAAATTGGGAAAAACAAAAGAGAGAGAACTCATGGACATGGACAGCAGTGTGGTGATTGCTGGGGTGGAGGGGGATGGATAGAGGTGAGAGAGGGCACAGAGGGGATAAATGGTGATGGAAAAATAAAACATTTTAGGAAGAAAGGGTGAATATTCTTTGTGAAAATTAAGTGAGGAAAATACAGTACTCAAATGGTTTGAGGCCAAACCTTTGAAAGGTGACGGTGGAGGTGAGGGGCCACCGAAAGCAATCAGGACAGCTGATGGAAGAAGACAGGACTTGAAGGCTGGGTTGGTCACTGGGCCTGTTCCACAGCAGCCGCAGGTATGAGAGAACCAGTGAGGGCTCCGCACACACCTTCCCTTCCCCATGGGCGCTCACCACTCAGGGCCACTGCCAGAGGGGTCTCACTCCAGGAGCTCAATAGCCAGGCCCTGTCAAACAGCACTCCTGCCAGCATCCTTGGGCTTCTGGCCAGGTAACCCTCTCATTTATGGATGGTTCAGGACCACAAATTCCATAAAGCCCAAAGTCCAGGAGAAGGGGAGAAACAAATCCCAGACCAATACCTCCAGCAACATGAAGGATGCTTACAAGACCAAACAACAAGACTGACTCTCTCTCCCCACGTCCTAAATCAGATATTCATGCCTCACAGCCTTCGCCTGCTCTGCGCTGCTCTGCTCTGCTTCCAGGCCCGTGAACTGAGATCTGACAGGTTTGCCTCTGGGTAAAGGCTTTCATTTAGGGCCAGGTTTCAGACCCAGTGGTGCTTCAGATCCTCTCAGCTCACCTTGACTCAAAATCACGTCCACATTTTCTCTGGATGCCAGTGCCAACCAAAGCTGTCCGCGTGCCTTTGATTAGAGATCCACATGCCATCTGGCCCTGCACTGGTGTGTGTGTAATGTGTGGGCATGCTTGCTGTGTGGGCATTTGGCACCAGGACAAGAACTGCCACATGTTGGGGAAATTCAAATAGCCAAGCTGTCCGACCGACACATAATTTTGCATTTGGACAGTGTCTGTGCGAGCCAGGATTTGAGTTTAACATTTTTCCTCATCACTGGAGACTGCCGAGAATGATAAAAGCAGGGAAGAATTGGCATGAAATGAAAGAATCGAAAAATAAAGAAGAATAAGAATTCTGGAGGTGGCCTTTATGAAATCCAGAAGAAAGCACCACCCTGTAATATATTCCAGCCACCACTCAGCCTTGCTCAGAATAACCAGCTTTGGTTAAAACAACAACAATGCCTCTTCCTGCAGACACAGGCATTGTATTCCACATGAGGAGCCTACCTGTAATTGCCAACAGACCTTTTAACTCTGCATGTTTACCTGGTGACCGCTACTCAAAGATATCTGAGGACAGAAAATAACCGTGGGCATTTCCTCCCCGGGGCTCTAAAAGCACCTGACAAGCTGCCCACTGGAGGCTACCATTTGAGATATTTTTTCTAGAGGCAAATTCTACAAATCTTTGGAGCGGGTGGGTGGGAGGAGGTAATTAAGGGAAGTTATTTTCAAGTGACTACACGTTCTCTTCTATTTTCCCTCTAAATTCCCTTTTTACTGTCCTTGCTCTGGACCCATCTGAACTCATCAGTGGGCGCCTTTGACCCCCAGCTTCCTGTTGGGTTTGGCAGGAGGCCTGGAGGAGGCTGAAGAGTGACCTGGGTGTGAATCCTCCAGACCCACCCCGCTGCCTCTCTCCAATGCAAGGCGGCTTCTTAGCACAGCTGCATCCATCATTCAGGTGCCAGCTGCCCCCATACTCCTTTGCCTTCAGGCCTCAGATCCACTGCTGATACAAGCCTTGGCATATACAGTGGAAGGCACCATGCTCTGCTGGTTTTCTGAAACCCTGCCCACGCCTTTGTAAACAGCTCCTTTACTAAATTACCCCACGAGCGTGCCTTCCGCTTTTTGCCGAGATTCTGGTGGAATGACGAGCTGTTGCCTGACTGACCTATTGGCCTTCCACAGCCCTCCTTCAAAAGCAAAGTGTCCCAGGCCTTGACCCTGTGAGAGTGGCACAAACCAGGAGGACCAAACTAGTGAACACTCACTCATCGAAAAGAGCCATCTCATCCATCTACTGGAACCCACCCCAGCCTCCCACCAGCTGAGTTGTCAAATTCCTGCCAGATAAAAAAGAAGGGAAAAAAAAAAAAACCTATCTGAAGAATGACATTTCAAACATTTTCTCAAGGAAGGAAAGGGAAGGAGGGAGGAAGGGCTCTGCAGGAAGTGACGTGGTCACGAGCCATCGTCATCCGAGTGCCTACCTTGTCTGGCTGTGTACTCATTGTCCTCGATCAATCTGGCCAATCCAAAGTCGGCGATCTTGCATATTAGTCCATTCCCCACTAGAATGTTTGCTGACCGCAGATCTCTGTGGATGTAATTCATGCGTTCGATGTAAGCCATTCCTGCAGCAACCTGTGGAAGTGGAGAGAATGGAACACGTTACACCTTGGCTTGATGTATTGACACATCATTACATCTAAGGCGGGAATCAAGGCACATGGGGCCTACCTGTGCTGCCATGTCCACGAGATTTGGTAATTTCAGAGCTCTTCCTTCTCCATCTTTTAAGAAGTCAAGCAAACTTCCTATGAAGAAAACAAGAAACCATTTCAATTTAGTCTGAAAGATAAGATGTCCAACAAAGGGCTATATTTGGCTTTCTTATTAGAAATAATGAGGTAACTGAACTGAATAATGCTATCCGTGCAAAAGAAAGTTTCATGCCAAAAACACAGAAAAAACTATGCAATGGAAGGCAGTAGTTTTACCTTTTAAAAATAAACCATGGTGATGCCATTTCTAAGGACCACAAAAACTTGATGAAACTACAAGAAATGGGACTCGATTCCCTTTTTGTCATAAAGAAGAACATGTGCAGAGCCGGGCCACTTCAGTTGCATTCTCCAATCAACCACCCACAAAAAAGTGATGTGGGGAAAGACCACCCAGTGGTTCCCGAAACGGGGTCCTGGGACCAGCAGGAATAGCATCCCTCAGGGAACGTGTCAGAACTGCAACTCTCAGGCTCCACCCCAGATATATTGAATCAGAACTCTAGAGGTCAGGACCAGAAGCCTGTATTTTAAGAAGCCCTCTAGGTCTGTGGTCAGCAAACTGTGGCTCGTGAGCCACATGTGGCTCTTTGGCCCCTTGAGTGTGGCTCTGCCACAAAATACCACAGCCTGGGTGAGTCTATTTTGAAGAAGTGCGTTAGAAGAAGTTTAAGTTTAAAAAATTTGTCTCAAAAGAAATTTCAATCATTGTACTGTTGCTATTTGGCTCTGTTGACTAATGAGTTTGCCGACCACTGCTCTAGGTGATTCTGACACATCGTCAAGTTTGAGAACCGCTGGCCTAGCTTATTTACAGATTTTAAACCAAGAAAAAAAAAAATACCTGAAAGAAAAGAATATCTAAGGAATATAGGGTGGGGCAAATAGCTCCCCATTAGGCCATGGCTGGCCAGACATCAATGAACCCTGTACGTAGATAGCTGAGCTTCAGTGCCGCTGTGATAACGCAGCCCAAGTAGCTCAGAACTAATGTCCCATTTGGGACAGCCATGTGCAGAGGCTGGAGGCTCATCATGGTCAAGGTGAGCTTTTTTATGCTTTAATCCCAAAGTTATTTACCAAGTAAACCTGGATACAAAGGACAATCTGCCAGGAAAAAAAAAAATTCCTAGTATATTTTCAGAGAACATGGAAAGGAAAAATTACACTGGTATCCTCTGATGTACAATGCATTGCCTTTTAAGGACATTTCTTGTTTGGTTCATCTATTTTTCCAAAACAAAGTAATCTTTGGCTTTATCCCCAAAAATACTGCTTTGATTAGAAGATGGAGAGAGACAGAGCCACACACAGAGAGAATGAGAATAAAATGTGCTCTTTAAAAGCATGTCTTTCTTCATCTGATTTTAAAGAGAGCTGAGGAAAAAAAAAAGTTAAAATAATACTCAACTTAGCCCAAAGGCCAGTGTCTGATATTAATTGCTCAGCCCTGCACAAAGGAAATTTAATACAAGCGATAGCATTCAAAATAACAGCAAGCTGTCACAGCCCCCCGTGTCACTGACATTAGAAATGGACGCGCTCACTACGAGAGGAGCTGGAACTCTGCATGTGCAAAAGGTACAGGCATCACAAGGACCTGGGGGTAAACGGGGTCACGGCCGGTTTTAAAACGCGTTCACTGATGAGCACACAATGTGCACTTCCTGAGGGCATGTTTGACTCAATGCAGAAACCAGGGAGAGAAGCAAGCAGGCAACTCCACCCGTCTCCCCGGAACAAGCCCTGCAGGCCACTGTGCGGTGAAGCTGGAGGCTGGGCCCACCTTTATTCATGTACTCGGTGACGATGTAGATGGGTTCCTCGGACACCACGGCGTACAGCTGGACCAGCTTGTCGTGCTTCAGCTTCTTCATGATCTGCGCTTCCTCGAGGAACGACTCAGGGGACATTGTGCCTGGTTTAAGAGTCTTTATGGCTACTTTTGTGTTTCCATTCCAGGTACCTGCAGATATCCCACAATATTTAGTCAAACAAAAGGTCCTCTTTGGGTGGAAAAAAGTTTTTAAGTTAATAGCTTTTTATATAAGGTTAGATTTTAAGTTAAAAATTTAATATAGTTTTTTTGTCAAACAAAGACAATAAAATATAAGGACTCGGTCAAGGATTTTCAACAGGAAAAAAATGTATTTACTTCTGGTTATATTATGGTTTATAACTGAACTATTTTCTTATTTTGATATATACAACATTCCTTTTCTGGTTCAGCCATGTGGTTACAAATGTATGCCAAAAGCTCTAGACACTTCCTTTACAATAATAAAAGCCCAGGGGTTAGAACAAGCCTGGCCATCCAATATCCATCCATTAGGCAGTACAGTGAGCATGGAAGAAATAAGATTAAGTTCCGTTTTATGGGGTATACCATTTTAAAAAGATAGCAACACGCTGAGGATGTCTGGAAAATACGACCAGACTTTCACTCGTCTGCCATGCATGAGCTACTTGACTGAGTCCTTGAACAGGTGATCTATAAGTTCGAATGCAATTATGCTGATAAGCAGAGGCCAGCTCATAGACTTCTTGCCCGTACTTCAACCAGGTAAGGAAAATTCCTCAGGCTTACTGATGTCAGCCACAACAGAGCAATGACTTCTATCAGCTAGACTGGGAAAATTAGACAATAGCGAAGAGGGAACAGAAATATTTAAACTTTACATGTTAAAAATATCTGGTAGGTCCAGAGGCATGCCTGGTTTATGATCATCGGTTACCTCATCTGCAAAATACTGAAATGAAACCGGATTGTCTTTTGAGTTTCTTTCAGCTCCCAAATTTTTTAAAAAGTAGGTTGTGTGGTATTCCATTATTAGCCCTATGATTTTGAATTAAAACTATTTATAAGGGGGGGGATGGATTTTCTACATTAGATTATATTATTTTCTATTTGGAAAATGCTAGATTAAATTAAGGTTAAACTTTATATTTAATATAATTGAATTTAGAATTAAAAAATTCTGTAAATTGAAGCAACTTTTAAAAACATGGTTCATATAATTATAAAATGCAACCTATAAAAATATGAATCATGCTTAAAGGAATATTAAATGGGAACTTTGATAACTTGTGAGTGGTCTTTGCTATTTGAGTGTTAATAACCCAAATTTTTAAATATAAATCTTCTTGTCTAATAATAACCCATTGGCATTCCATCCTGATCCTGAACTACCAAAAAATGATGTTTTATGTTAGTGGGAAGCAAAATCTTAATAATATGTGTAATGATGTAAAGTTTATAATTAAAATATTTGTAAATAAATTATGTATAGTGTTCAATTATTCCTGATTGTATTAATGATCGGATAAAAATTCTTAGGACCCATAATTTTAATTATAAATTGGGCAGATGGAGGAAGTCATATGAACATATTTTACAATACTTGAGTTAAAGTCCAGTGAGAGATGGACATCACCATGTGGACTCTGAAAAAACAATAATAGTGATAATACTCATTAAAATAGCTTATACATATGCACATATGTGTCTGTCTGAGTATCTACCTGTCTCTCTATTTCTGTCTCTAACTCTGGATCTATGCAGTACATCCTCATTGCCAGACTTTGTTCCAAGTGCCTTCATCATGTTAAATCTTTTAGTGCAGACTATACCTAATTACCTACAGCTACACATAACAACAATTATTTTTCATTGAATCTAAGAAAGAAGGAAGGATGACTCCATAAATACTAATACTGCCTTACTGACAGAACTTTTTTGGGTGGGGCCTACGTCCATGGATTGTCTAAGCAAAGCTGCAACTGCCTCAGAGGGAGTTATATGAGGAAGGCCCAGTGCCAAAGGCCTTATCAATGAGATGACAACCAAAGTAAGAGAAGTACCTGTATCTGCTGAGCACCTAGTAGGTGCAAGGGACTCTAAACATATCATCCCTGGTAATCTTCCAGGTCCTATGAAGTAGCTATCATTCTAGTTTTACAGATGAGGAAACTGAGGATCAAAGAGGTTAAACAAGCCCTTTGCCCATGGTTAGTCAGCTAGTAAGGATTGAGCAAAAAACCCAAGATCATTGAGCAAAAAAGCCCAGGGTCTCCTCTTACAGTAGCCCATCTACATAGCATCTTACCTTCCCAGGTCTTAGGAAGAAGAAACCCCAAAGTCCTATTGTACTGGACTCCTGTACTGTGCATGCCTTAATTAACCACGTGAAGTAGGATAGAAGAGAACAGGAGGTACTGCCATGTTCTGAAAACCTGGGTGGCGTGTACCATCTATCTGGGTTTAGTGTGTCGGTTCCAACGGCTATTAATGTGTTTTGTTCAAAACCGTCCTTTTAATTGGCTTTGAGATGCAGCCAAAACAAAACGTGCCCTCTGCCTTACCAAGCCACACTTCAGCGAAACACCCCTGACCCAGCTTCTTCTCCAGACACAATGAATCACGTGCAACTTCCCAAGCATCTTTAGCCAATCCAGAAGTTTGTGGGGTACAACTCGATGCAATCACAGTTAAGTTAAAACACAACCCATCAGCTTTCTCTACAGGAAAGAGGATTAATAAAGAAAACACAGTCCTTATAATCCATAATCATGCATGCACTAGAGAAGATGGAAGGTGACTTGCGCTTGAGGGCGATACTGAGCCCATTGGACAGACATCTGCAGTTGGAAATGCAGAGCAATGCATATGGTGCGGGTTGGATCATTCCTTGTGCCATCTACTGGTTTTTATGAATCGAAACACATATAATAGCATAATTTGAGCCATTTGCCAATCTTGACCACTTACATGGTTTTTCTAGAAATTCTAGCATTCCAAAGTCAAAATCATTATTCCCCACTATTAGTCATTCCAACTTTCCTTCTGAGCACAGTCTTTATTGTCACCTTCCATCTTTGACTTCCCAAACGAAGATGCTAGTAATAAAGTAACTGAGGCTTAGCATACCCATCCATACTTCCCCAAACTGCCCATTTCCCAGTCTCTTGATCAACTGCAGGGATTCTCGAGGGATTTCCCAGACATCTTTGGTTTTGACAGACAGATCGGTAAGCCTTGGCATCCCTTTGTGACAGGGAACTACTAGGCGGCAGCAGAGACCTGCAGCTCTCTCTGACGGAGCGGGGGCAGCAGCGAGAGAGGGAGAGAAAAGCAGAACACGTGAAACAACAACACTGGCAGAGAACTACACACATTTTGGAAGATTAGACACCACACACTGAAACATGTTTATTGAAGGCAGAATAGAGGACATCTGAAGTTTGCACTACTCCATATCCCCAGGTATAATATGGTCTATTCCTATCAACAGATGCAGACTGTTTTGGTTTCTATACTCACTAAATAAGAAAAACATTTCAGCCCAATGTGCTATGACATATTTACTGCAACCCTTCAAGCACCTCCACTGATATACACTGGACTATAGATTGTCAACATGTTTGTCCTCCCCCCAAAAATTAGGGGTTTGGGACTATATTGAAAATGGTAACTTCAGAACAGAATCCTTCTATACAACATCAGACTTATAGTCTAGTAAGAATGAAGATGGTATCTGGCAGGGGCAAAACTGTTCACATTTCTCTAATGATTTTTTGGCATTTTAACTGACTCTATCCTGCTTCCTTGATACTTCCTATTAAAAATGTTTATAACTATTTCTAGTGTATAATTTAGGAGACTGGTTTGAAAGCAGAAAGAACAAAAAACGAACATCTATAGAAATTTAAGGATGTGAAGAGCTCTATTTCCCATGAAAAAGAGAAAGAAGTAGTTATCACTGTGAGGTGATCTGGAAGTTTTTTCCTCTCTCTTTAAAGATTATGCCTTCTAGAATCCAGCAGCGGTAAGGGGAAATTGCCTAAATGCCAAGTTCAACATCAATCAGGTGAGAAAAGGGAACCAAAGACAGGAATGAGGGCAGTGGCAGAAGCTATGCAGAGCCTGGCTGCGAGGTGGACAGAGCCCCAACCCCCCACTGCAGGTCCCTCAGATCCGGGGAAATCAAATGTCGTATTGCTGCCTTTTCTCCAGGAACCAGTGACTTTTTTTAAATTCCTTTCTTTTTGATAGAATTAGGTTCTGAGATGTTTAGTAGGAAATTATTTATGTGTCCATATTTCAAAGGCACTTTATTGTGTGAGAGAAATGAGGGAAGAGAAAAAGTCAATATAAAAACAAATCTAACTTGAGATGAATTTTTTTGAGATTAAAAAAATGTCTGTTGCTCTTCCCATCCCATCTCTTTATGTTATTAAGGTGCCTTTTCTGACACAATATTTTCAAATGATTCAAAACTCTGGGGATCCTGCCGATGTTTGGTTGTAATCCAATATATTTTGGCATTTGAAAAAAATCCTTATAACGTGCAGGCATTCTGAGTACATCCATTTAAACTCAGGGAGATATTCTGCTCTATTTCTCCCAAACATTTCATTAGAATCTACATAAATCAAAGTTCCCCAATGCCATAATCCACAAATACACTGTGTTGCTATTTTTTTTTCATTTGTTCATTAGTGCCTAGAATCAATAGATAGGTATTACTTATTGTCATCTTCAAAAGATTGGTTTTTTGTTGGTTGCTAAAAAAAAAAATCACACACATGCACATATACTTTTTAATGAATGTACACACAACAATAGTTGAAATCAAGGCATGTACTCTTTTGGGGTACTGGCATTGTCCTGAAGAACAGTTTAAAATTACATATTGGCCTCACAAAAAATTGCTGGGTTTACTGGGACATAGATCTATACCTGCACATGTATATCTACAGTATATCCACCTGTGTGCATGTTTTATATAGTGGAATATACTTGGCTCATTTAGGAAAGAGAGCCATCATTTTAACACTGGCACATAAGACCACGCTCTTTAATAAAATGCACAAATCGCACACCTAAACATCTAAGTGTACATTTCTAGGAACAGCGGACTACTGGGGACATCTGGGTGTTAGGGTGGAGACTGATCACTGTTTAAAAGTTTAGCACAGCAGCTGTAACTGACCTGTGGGTCACATAAGTCTAAGTCTAGTTAGGAAACAGAAGTATTGGTGGGAAGGAGAGTGTGATAAATGAGTCAGAAAACTCAACTAGTCAGAGAAAATGTATGAGCAGTCATTCCTGCAACAGCTGAGTGTAAGGTGATGGTAGAGACACGCTCCCCCCACCCCACCGAAGGAGGCCCATGTAAACTGCCCCCCAAGATCGCTCCTTCACCCTCTCACAGCCTCTGAGCTCTTCTCTGCAGGGGAATAGGACAGATAACAACTTCTAAGGTTTAACCTACGACTTTCCTCTTGGGAAACTAGAATGTTATAGAATCTTTTGATGGAACTTATAATTGCGGTAGAAAAACACCATGAGGGGCTAGCAAAGAAAGCTACCATTGACCCTTGAACAACATGGGGGGTGGGGGCTCCAACCACCATGCTGTTGAAAATGCACATATAACTTTTGACTCCTCAAAAGTTCGACTACTAATAGTCTACTGTTGACTAGAAGCCTTATTGAACATAAAGAAAACATTATTAAGGAAATCACAAGAGAAAATGCATTTACAGTACTTTACGTATTTACTGAAAAAACTCCCATAGTAGTGAACCTGCGCAGTTCAAACCTTGTTGATCAAGGGTCAACTGTATTTGACCAGTGACTCTGCATGTGTTTGCTGTACTTGTTCCCCCTGTCCTTCCCCTTTCCTGCTCTGTGCCCACCCAGCTCCTCCAGTATCCAATGCTTAGCGGCTGCTTAGAATTAAGGTTACCTGAGTAATGCTGTACAAGCTGCTGAAGTGTTTCAAACTGGGCCCGGGTGGTGATGTAGTACCCACCATTGTCAAGTTTGCGAATTTTGTAATGCTTGACATGGTCTCCTTTCATATCATCCCAATCACGGATGGAAAGTGAATAGGCACCTGGTAAAAATGCAAAGTATTAGCAGCTCCAATCACTGGGAGTACTCATGTGTTATTTAGGTCTCATTTACTTGACTATTCTGATTAATAATTAGCAATCGGAGACTCTCTCTCCCCCTCTCCTTCCCTCCCACCACACACTTCCACTCTGTAACATAGGAAAAAAAACACCTCTTTTATGAAAATATCAGAAGATATAAGCAATAAAATGATTTACCCTCGAGAATGAAGGCCATTTTCCTTCCTCCCCCATCCGGTCCCCTTAACCCGGGAAGATGGAGAGGAGCACAGACATTCCAGGCTGCGCCTGCTCTTTGGGCCTGGAGCACCATGGAGGAGGGGATGGTGCGAACCAGGGGAACGTAGGGACTGCTTCTCTAGGAGTGAGCGTTCCATTTCTGCTCACAGCATTTTCCCCAGGAGTGGGTAACCTGTGTCTGCGGATGAGGCTAGCGGCCTCTGCTCTTTTCCGTGGCAGGCTCCTCTTGTGGACTCTAATGAGATGTTAAATAATAGAAAGGCCAATAGTTGTAGGAAGAGCAAAAAATGAAAAAAAGAAAAGAAAAAAAAATCACAAAGGAAACGTGAAAACAACCTGTATGTTTGGCGCCTGAGGAACTAAGAGTTTCAGAAATTCATAATTCTAAAGGTTGTGTGAAAATCCTGTGATCCTGTGCGCCCGGAGGAGGGAAGCTGCCCAGCCCCCGCTACAAGGGGAGGTCTTGGCTCGGAGCCTCTGTAGTCGTTCTGGAGCTGCCTGTCTGTAGTTTGAGAGCCTGGAGGAAAAGCTGAAAATAGGACTCCCTCCCTCAGAAGGCAGGGAGGGTCTGTGCCATTTACAAACCCTGTCCCTCAGAGATAAGCCTTTCATCCCCTCCGACTGATCCACAGATCTGAAGGACAAGTGAACTCCTTGTGGTTATTATCTTACCTTTGGTGGTTTCGCTCTCGCGGATAAGAAAGGTGCCTCGTGGGTTTCCGAAGGACAAAAGCTGTCGCTCAGCATCTTTTCGGCCAAGTTTCCCAAAGTACCACCTATAAGTGATCAAGAAAAGGAAACATTTTATAAGAATCACTTAAAAAAATGGAATCGTGCAAGCTCTTTTGCCCCCGCTCCACCCATCCTCCTAAACTCCGATTCCATCCTTAGCCTTTCCTATCTATTCCCCCCCCCCCCCCCCCAGCCTCATTTAGTTCCCTTTCAATCTATTCCTGATTCCACCCTTAATGCATCTCTTACACTCTTAAAAAAAAATCACATTTGAATTATGGGTTATTTTCCTTCCCTCTAGAGATGACAAGAACTGATTGGTGTTAAAACTGCCACCTGCCTGCTCAAAACAAGAAACGCAAGACCTTGTGTAAAATGGCAACCCCAGGAAACCCTTCCCACACACATCTACAAGACCCTGGGTTTCTGAGCATAATTACAATCCCTAGGAAATAACTAAAACAGAGTCTTAGTGTACATAAAGGTCATTAATCAGGCATTAAAAAAAAAAAAGGCAGTCAGAATGGATAAAGAACAAAGACAATATTTTTAGAGTCAGCCTGCCTATAGGAACTCTGATAAACGAGGCCTGCCCTGGGATGCTGTCTGCATTGCCTTCCTGTCCAGCAGGCGTGAGGAAGCCCATCGGTGAAGGGCGTTTGCCAAGCATCTGTATTGGGCCCGCGTGCTCTGGCACAGCTGCAGGGCAGGGGACCGTGCACAGTCAATGAGCGTGTCCTTGAAAACGACTGTGTCACACACCGCCTCCTATTCTCTTTGTGATGACACCCCTGTGCCGCTTTATGTGTCGCGTGAAGTCACCTTGCAACCTTTGCCATTTGTCTTTTATCCCCCGCCCCCCTCTCCAGCCCTAACCATGGCCTGGCAATCAGTTAACGTTTCAGTCTGCTCAGTGCTGAACAAGCAGTAGGGACTCCAGGAACCCAAGCGAGAATTCGGGAGCACCCCATTGGAATCTGCGTAAAGGAACCATTTTTAGAATATTCGGCTGTGAAAGGATCCAGCTTCAGAAATGAAATTTCAATTCATTACACTTGAACATAGCTATTGTGTGTTCACTGTCACATTCTTCTGTGAATGAAAGAGCTTCCCTGAAGACAAGAAAAGACACGCTGCACGCCTGCTCCTCGGCGACTTTTAAAGGCACCAGACTGTGCAACGCTCCTAACCTAGCGCTAGATGGTATAAAGGGAATTACACCAATTATTTGTGAGAAATGACTCTGTGGGTCTGCATCAATTAAAATGCAGTGCAAACACGAACACTGGTGAAGAGAGAGCTGTCAGAACAATGGATTGCACTGAGACAATAGTATAGATAGTGATAATTAATTGCATATGTAAAACCACAGGCATTTAAAAAATGCTACTTTATTCTTTAAAAACAAAATATTTAAAAATGGACCATTATAAATACAACTTAAATATATATAGTGGGTAGGTTCCCAGTTAAATTAAAAAAAAAAAAAGCTACATTTTGGTGGTACCTTTTATGCTGAAAGTACTCAAAGATGCCTGCCAATCTGCCCTAAAATAAAAATTCAATACAGATTCCTTTATTCACTGATGATGAAACTCACTCACTGGTTGAAAGAAGGAGCTCAGAACCCCTGAGTATTTGAGAGTGGGAAACAAAACCAGTCTCCGTAGAGGGAATACAAAGGAATTAAAGACAAGAGTGTGATCCAGCTGGGGATTTGGCTGAGGTGTGGAGTCAAATGCTCTCTGAAACTTAAATCCAGGGCAAAAATTAAATATCAGGGCCAAAGGTTGGGCTCTGTGGCTGACGTTTCTCCTAAGGCAAGACGGCTTCCACTGAGCAGGAGAGGCAGGTCCCCAGGGTGCCAGGGAGAGGACCAGGGTCTTGCTTTTGGGAGCCCACAGCCCAGATCCCGTTCCCTCTGTTCAGAAATTAGGGCCCCCCACAAGCCGCAGACAGTCCTCCAGGCTGCAAGTGCCCGCGAGTCCTCACAGATTCAGAGAGGAACAGTGCTTTTTCCTTCTAGAATGCCCCCAGACCATGGGCCACCTTTCAAAACTATCAGCAGTGAGATCATTGGGCCAACTCACAGCTAGTCACTATTAACTATCAGAGAAAAAACAGAGATCCCAAAGCAAAGGAAAGGACGGTTTGAAGTGCATCACCACAGGATTTCTCGAGTTGTGGGACACGCTCCATGTGAGACAGTTTGACCTGTGGCATGGAAGGCCTGTCTTCTTAGTGCTCCGTTAATATTTATGATTAGACTGAGGAGCAAAACTCTCAATTTGGTAAGAATTAATTGCCACCTCCCTCCCTCTCTATCTTCCTCTCCCTTTCCTTTTTCAGTAGACTGTAGGCTTAGAATCTGGGTTGGCAGTAATATATGCTCTGGCTAGAATTTCATTTTTATGGTTATTCTCTATTTATGGCAAGTAATATTGAGTTTTCATTAAGTTACTGACACAATGTTTCCTTTCGAAAATAAATGTCTTAAAAAGTGAGCAGGCTTAAAGAAAAATAGTGAGTTAATGATAGCATGGTATTCCATAGCTAGGGCGAAATACAATGGCCTAGGCTTGGGAAACATGGCATTAGTAACCCCGGTGTATTTCTTCTCCCTCCTGCACAACGTTAATGGCATTTTATTATGCCAACTAACTTTTAAAAGCAAGTAGTTAAGTGGAATGACAAAACAAAACGTACTCTTCTGCCTGGATAGAGTCAACCGGAGCCACGTAATTGCTGGGAATGTAACCTGTCTCTCCAGTTGTCAAGGAGCGGGCTTCCCACCAATCTCCTTCCCTGCAGAGAAAAAAAAAGAGAAAAAGAAATGAATACAGTGACCATTTCAATGTTTTGCAGTTACAGACTCAGTAAGAGTTATGACTATCTCCTAGTCATTCTACCATCTGATTTCTCCTATTCCAACACAGCCCTCTGTGAGGGCCAAAGGATCCCCTGTGAGTTAAACCCAGCACCATCTCTTATCTCTTGCCTTATTTGTTATTCTTTAAAATCTGATTTTAGAAAGAGGGGAAGGGAGAGAGGGAAGCAGGAAAAGGAGGAGGAAGAGCAGGAGGAGGAGGAGAAGGAGGAGGAGGAGGAAGAGAGAGAGATGTGAGATTGAAACATTGATTGGCTGCATCCTACACACCTACTGGGGATCAAGTCCCCATCATGGGTGTGTGCCCTGACCAGAAATAGAACTGGTGACCTTTCAGTGCATGGGATGATGCTCAACCAACTGAGCTACACTGGCCAGGGTTCTTGCCTTATTTGTGAGTTAAGAATATAGGACCTGGGCCAGGAGAGGAGTATCTGAGTGGGGAGTGCAATTTGCTTGGTAAGTGTTCTCAACTTAGAGCAAAGGGAACTCAGCCTAGGTTATTTAAGAAAAACACCGTGACAACATCGAAATGTTAATTATGTGAGGTGGAGTAGGTGTTAACTAACTTGTTATGGTAAACATTTCACAATATATACGCATCAATCCATCACACCGTACACATTAAACTTATAGACTATTACGAAAATTATCTATATAGATAAAAGCCTAAGTGACCATTATGACCAAATGACTGGAACGACGGGTCGACCAGTCGCTATGAGGCACACTGACCACCAGGGGGCAGATACTCAATGCAGGAACTGCCCCCTGGTGGTCAGTGTGCTCCTACAGCCAACCTCCCATAACCCCTCCCCCTGGCCAGCCATCCTCCTGTGGCCCCTCCCCCTGGCCAGCCATCCTCCTGTGGCCCCTCCCCCTCTCCCTGGTAAGCCAGCCCCCGAATCAGCCCTGATCAGGGGGCCAGCCAGCCAACTTTCTGTGGCGTCCCCTCACTGGCTGGCCAACCTCCCGTGGTCTCTCCCCACAGGCTCCGAGGGGCGGGGGGGAGCTGCTGGGCCAACCTCCCACAGTCCCTTCCCCTGGCTGGCTGATCTTCCTGATGGCCCAGATGGGGAGGGACAGCCAGCCAACCTCCCGGGGCCCCTTCCCTGGGCTGGCTGGCACCCCCATAGGCCTCAATCGCTGGACAGGGCGAGGGACCCCTCTGTGCATGAATTCATGCACTGGGCTTCTAATATTTCAATAAAGCTGGAGAAAAGTAAAGCACACACTGACTGTCTCCAACAGTCTCCGTTTCATCCCCCACCCCAGGCAGCTGGGATCCTTTGGTTGCTGGAGAGACACAAACTGTTGGCTTCAGTGTAATTTGACAGCCATTAAAAGACTCAGCAGAAAAAGAAAAAGAAATGCATTAAAGCTGCAGATCATCTGAGGACGGAAGCCTGCTAGCAGGCCCAGATGGGATGGAAACATATTCTGAATACTTGTCTGGCTTGCTGAGGAAAATGGGTAGAATAATAAAGATACAATAGGGTATGCCTTGCTCAGACAGGTTCAAGCTGAGGTCATTTCAATGTCTACTTATAGCAATGCAGAGTCTGGTGGGGAAGACGGGGGTGGGTGTAGCTGTGAGTGTACAGATGCAGGGGGAGGACCAACACCGGTGAGATTCACAGTCACAGCCCTTTGTATGGATGCAATAGCCTGGCATCATTCTGTGGAGCTCTCAGAGCTGTGGGCTGAGGGATATTAGAGGGGGCTTATAACGCCACTCGAAGCTTAAAACCGGTGAGAGAACTGAATGGGTAGTTCACGTGCTCGACTCACAAGCTGTGTATGGCAGAGAGCAGGGATGGCATGTGTGCTCCCCCTGTACACCGGGGTTAGTGGATGTGTGTGGGGCTGTAGCTCTGGCACCGACTCCCAGATCCCTCCACCTGCCTGGAGGCAGGAGTGTGAGGGGCAGGAGGGACTGCTGCCCTTGAGGTGGGAGCTGAAGTACCCGCCCTGTCCCCAGAGGCCCAGCGCCTTCTCTCCTTCCTTGTTTGGTCCTTGGAGTGAGCAAGAGAAACCCCAGGCCTTTCCTGAGGTCACTTGCTGGCTGGACTCTGTGCCAAAGCCCTCAGCTAGGGAAGAAAGCGTGTTGGCTTTTGGCCCTGGTCAGGATCCCCCCAGACTGATTTAAGGAGAGAATAACCAGCCTCCACATTACACAGGAGCCTTACTCAAGAGATCTATTCTTTAAAGGTGGAACCTGAGTAAAGTGACCGACGAGCAATAGCTCCACATGCAACTGAGGAAGGCCGCAGAGGCCGCAGACAAACGGTGGCAGCCCCCGGGTGTGCAGTCGTGGGAAGCGTTTGGTGGCACAAATAACACAGAACAGCCCACAGGAAAACAGGGCGCTGGCAAAGCGCCATAAAGCTTCCATAAACATTAAAGGCAAATCACAACATTTTAAAAATGTTATGTTAGATTAGATTTTCAGTCTTTTTCCTTTCTCATCATATTAAACAAATTTAAAAGAAAAAAATCAGTCAAAAGAGGGAAATAATTGTTCACATACCTAGGAAGTCCTTTAATAATCTTAAATTTAGTTCATGTCCAGATTTTTATTATAAAATAATTTATACATACAAAGAATAGGTTTGTATATGAATACCTATGAGTCCATTGCCCAACTAAAGAGCTAGATCATCATCAATCGTGTGCAGTCTACCTTGTGCTGCTTCTCTACCTCATCCCTCTGCTTTTCAGGTTCAAACATGTTAACATATTTACAGTTTGTGTTGGGTCCTTTTCTTCGTCCTCCAAAAGAAATCCACGGAGTTGTAAATAAATCATCTAAGAATGCGTGGGAGTTTATTTTTTTCTTTAAACATTGCATGTGTTTAAGGAAATGTTTGGGGACACTATCTTTAACAGGGTGACAATGCTTACTGCTCTAAAGTTCCACTAGGTGGAGACATTTCATCATAAAAAACAATACTTATCTCCTTGCCTTCTCTTTGCTCCTCCCCATAATCCACATCCACCTGGGAAATGCTCCAAAATGGTGAGAAAAAAATTAAGTGCTGCATCAAGTTAGTTCTAATTGATTTAAATTAAGAAAAATGAAGTATAGCATTAATTTTGGGATACTTGGTAATGTCAGCTGGGGCAGGAAGCCAAAACATTTTGCTTCAGGTTGGGGCAAACTCAGTCTTATTCAGGTGATCTTCCATTAATCAAGTAATTTCCATTTCAAATCCAGCATTAACTCTCTCATTCTGTTCAAAAGAGTTTAGCACAAATTAGAACCCAACTATCAGCTCATTCTAAAGTCATGTACAGGAACTCATGAATTTCTCTTAAGTGATTCTATTAATCTCAATAAGAGATTTCAATTACTCAAAAGAAAGATAAAATCATTTTTTCTTTCTCTAGGCCATTTAGGATCACCGTCTTTATCAAAGGAGATATGAGGTGACAAGAATACAATGTATTAGGTAGTAAACATAATATGTTGTGCCCAGAGAGGCTGGCACAGACTCAAAACATCTATCAAAAAAGTCTTAAATCAGTCATCTTTTTAAATAGCCCAATTCACCTATAAATTAATAATATACTTTAAAAAATATGTATATTTTATTGATTTTTTACAGAGAGGAAGGAAGAGGGATAAAGAGTTAGAAACATCGATGAGAGGGAAATATTGATCAACTGCCTCCTGCACACCTTCTACCGGGGATGTGCCCAAAACCAACATAAGTGCTCTTGAATGAAATTGAACCTGGGACCCTTCAGTCCGCAGGCGGATGCTCTATCCACTGAGCCAAACCAGTATTATTATATTATATACCCTTTATATAATAATTCATTCACTTTGATTTAGGAAAATAGAGTCTCTACCTTTTATTTTTAAAAAATATGTCTTTATTGATTTTAGAGAGAGAGGAAGGGAGAGAGAAACATTGATGTGAGGGAGAAACAAAGATTGGTTGCTTCCTCTTTGTGACAACATGCAACCTGGGTGTGTGCCCTGACCGGGAATTGAACTGGCGACCTGATTTCAGTGCATGGGATGACGCCCAACCAACTGAGTGACACCAGCCAGGGCCCTTTTATGTCTTTACTTGAGTTATTGTGAGTAGCATTATTAAAGGCGTATGTCTTTAAACTATTCTTACTGTTCAGATATTTCATTAATTTTAGAGTTGATGAGCTTTTCCTTAACTGTTATTATTATTATTATTTTTTAATTGATTTCAGAGAGGAAGAAAGAGGGAGAGCGAGATAGAAACATCAGTGATGAAAGAGAATCATTGATCAGTTGCCTCCTGCACGCCCCCTATTGAGGATCGAGCCATCAATCTGGGCATGTACCTTTGACTGGAGTTGAACCTGGGACCCTTCAGTCTGCAGGCTGACACTCTATCCATTGACCCAAACCAGCAAGGGCAACTGTTATTCTTTAACATATCCAAGTATATGATTTCAGCCCTGGCTCTGAAGAGCTTTTAAATTTTCACACCAGCTCTCCCTGTTCTTCTAATTCAAAGATTTATTAAGAGCGTAGCCCAATCCCCAAAACTGCTCTCAGGGCTTGTGGTCCCAGGAGCTGGGAGCCCTGATGGAGCCAGGAAGTGGTATCTGCAAAGGAAGGTCAGCCTTGATCTGATCAGCTGTGGAGCAGCTTTATTTTAAATGCTGGATTCTTTCTAAATTGACACTGCCCATCTGATTTTCAGAGAGCATGATCCATAACAATATTATCAAATGTTTAGGTGGGGGTCTAAACCAGGATTTCTTCTTATCCTGATGAAAAGCATTTGAAAAGAGTCACTACCCTAGGCAATGACCGCTGTTCCACTCTGTTTATTGTATTTTGAAGAATAGCTGTTTCTAGGTGGTAAATCACTCATCATGAAATGAGAAAACAGAGAATGAAACAGATGAATTAAATAGATATTTTGCAAAATGGGTTCAAGTTTAATACTGTCCAACTATGCCACACTGAATACTTACTGCAGGTCAGCGAAGGACCACCCACCCCCAGGCTGGGCGGCAGTGCCGTTAACTGTGGGCACATAGGCACACACACAGATCACGTGCTTCACGCTGCACTTTAAAACACAAAAGCCAGCCCTGTGGCCTCCCATTTCTGCCTCCAGTCAGGGAAAGGAGTGGGAAGACACACAATGGGAGGTGTGGCAGCTGCCCCAGGGAGACAGAGCCACCCCTCCCTCTGCCAGGGAGAGGCTGGGGGAGGGGAGACACATGCCATCTGGTTCTGTATTGCTGCTTTGTTTTTCCTTCATGATTGTGTCTCCCCTGTTATTACCCTTGACTTCAGGTTATTGCATTTGTTACAAAAACCTTATTTCCCCCAGAACCTTTACATGGCACGCAGGATGAGGAATTCTACTGGCAGGAAGGAAAAACATTAAAGGGATAAAAACCTTGTAACATTTTCTTTTAGGAGAACAGGGTCAGAGGCTCAGAGCCTTCCATAAACATTAAAGGCAAATCACAACATATAGATTGAGATAGATCAAATCTTGCTTTGAGTGTTTCTACAAAATCTCAACTGGATGCCATTTTAGAGTCTATCCACATTAACAAAGGAAGGAGTCATGGCTTTGACTTCGGCAGGACTGGCTGGCAAGGCCCCTACACCGTGGTGCCAAATGCACTAGCAGTGTGGAGAGAACCTGCAGAAGAACTGGGAACAGCACTTGCTGCCACTCCCTAGTTCTCACCTTTCAGGATCTGGTTAGAAGTTCTAGCCTACCTTGGCTTTGAGGGAATATTACTGGTACATGAAATGAGGAGGGAAAGTGGAGTGTATTTCAAAGTCAGTAGACTCTGACAAGAAACATTCATCTGAGAATCAGACGAACAATAAAGTATCAGATATCAGAAGAGATCAAAGCCAAATGTTCTCCTCCCACACCGCCAGCCAACCTTTCACCCTCATGCAACTTGAGTGGTTCAGTCCCCTCTGATGGGAGTCTCTGGGCCTTTCCAAGACCAAACCTGACACTGTACTTAGGATGCGTCCCCACGTGTCACTCTTGGCTCTGGCACCTGCCAGCTCCTCTGTGCACCTGGGCAGCCTCCAAACTTGAGCCTCTGGCGCCTCATGTGTACAATGATGACTATGAGACACACCTCAGGCAGCTGTTGTGGAGAATAAATGTGAACATTTGCAACTTAGCACGTGGCTGGCACATAAGGAGCCTTTAATAAATGGCAGCTCTTTACTATTTCCAAGAAAATTCCTGGGGCCTTTCCCTTCCACAGGATGTGGAGAGAGTGGCTGGGACAGGAGACTGCACCTCGGTCCATGCCACCTCCCCCAAGGAACTCCGAGTGTGCTGCACCCATGCTCCTTGGGAAGCAGAAGAGCCAGGCCTCCGGGCCTTCCACCATGATGAAATCCAGTTCGCTCAGGGAGCAGGGGAACGGCAAGTAGACTTGGGGCACAGGAAAGCTTCCAGGGGGCCCCCACTCCTTCCCCACCACTGGGAACACTCACAGAAAAAGCCCAGGTGCAGGAGACAAGGCTTGTTGTGTCAATGTTGGACACCTCCACCTTCTCCAGTGCCCGGAATTTTCTGGAGGGCACTCATGCATGCACACTGCCTTTACCGGACAGAAGCAATATTTAAAAACTACAGCGAGACCCGACCCCTCTTTACTCTTCCTAATGGAGGTATTCATTGTAGTATTTGAAGAGTGAGTGATTCTCCCCCTTGAACTTCCCCCATGGCCTGTTGACTGTTGTTGCTACGGCCACATTTAAAATGCACACATTGAAGTTACTCAAGAGTGGGCGAGATCACTTCTTCTCCCACCTCACAAAGATTTCAGTCACTCACAGATTTTCACTATGGGGCAACGCCTCCACAGGCTTCACCCAACTGGAATGCTCAGCAGTTTTGAAAACAGAGGGAACTTGTTGCCAGCCTTAAGCGAGAGTTTAGCTAGTGCAGCATCTGAAATGTGAAGAAAATCCCCAGGCAGAGGGAGGGTAGTGTGGCTAGCCAGGCCTGTGCCAATCATTGGAAAATGCAGATTTGCAGACAGTGATGTGGGGGCATTGATGACCTTTAAACCAAAACCAATACCATCTACTCAGCTACTATGGGTAGCCTCCCAAAACTGCCCCACACAGACAGTGCCATAAAACAGCCTCTTCGTTTCTCAAGTTAAATTGGTGTGAATGAATGAACTAAACAGGGTCCTTTCAGCATTTCATACATCTGAAAAGGCTCAGACTGGCAGCAAGGATATTTTCCCAACCTGAAAGGCACACGCTTCCCCTTCCTCTCCAAACTTACGAGCTGTTCAATATCTGAAACTTCTCTCCTTTGTGAAAACTCAGGTCATCTTCCGTCCTCGCTTCATAATCGTAAAGGGCCACAAACAGGGTCACTCCTGGAGAAAATGAACCGAAAGGGGAGAGGTATCACAAGAGGAAATTAGTTCCAAGAAATGAAATCTTTGCTAAAACCTCATTCTTAAAACCTAAAGCTAACCAGCAGGGATAGCTCGCTTCGGCCTTGTCATTAACGTGTGGACCCAGAGTCCCAGGCTGGGCTTATGCCTCGGTCCTTGCGGGGAAGCATATTCGATCCCACTGGGGTAGAAGGACTTTCCTCTCTGCACTTTGGAATGAATCCTCGGGAAGAGACAGATGTTAGTATCACGTCTACAGTGAAGGGGTGGCAGCAATGGAACGCCCGGTTTGCAGAGCTCCGCAGTGATCAGACACCCTGTATCTGACACTTGGGGCCCATGTTAGGTTCTGGTAAATGCATCCCTCTTCCCTGGCATAACAGTAAGGCCGGATGCAGCAGGAAACCCCTGCAGCTGGGGGCCCAGAAGCCTCTTTGAACGTTCACTCATTAGAGGGTATCTTGCCTTTTGCATCTGCAATTGCTTTTGGAACTCCCGTCTCACCTTGATGTTGCCTCTCCTCACACTGACTTGTAGTTCTTGCGCTTCCTCATATCCATCCTATTCTTCTCTTCTGATTGAGTCCCCACACAGGTCTTTCCTGCTTTCCGGGAAGTCTGCTATTAGCAGCACAGACTGTCCTATGTCCCATCTGTCCCACTTCCTCCACGCAGTGGGCAGGACTCTGAGACAGCCTCAGGGACTCCCACCTCCTGGTATTCATGCCCTTGTGCAATCCCCCAGTGGGCGAGCCTGGTGATTTGCTTCTAACCGACAGAGATGAGATGTCTCTTCAGTGATTAGGCTTCATTTGATTGTGACTTCTGACTTCCTAGCAGTCTCATTCTATCGTCCCTTTGGCTCTAACACTTTCATGGAGCAAACTGCCATGCTGGAGAGGCCCCCACGACAAAGACTGTGGGTGGCCTATGGCCAACAACCAGCGAAGACCTTAATCCTGCCATCACCATGAGCTTGGCAGCAGATCCCTCCCCATTGGACGGCAGGGTGACCTTAGTCCAGCCAGCACACCTAGATTGTAGCCTGTGAGAGACTCTGAATCACAGGACTGGGCTAAGTTATTCCCAGGTTCCTGACCCACAGAGACTGTGACATAATAAATGTGCATCATTTTAGAGTTGCTAAGTTTGGTGGTAATTTATTATGCGGCAATTAATATAACTAACACCCCCCATTTCTCTGCTCTCTGGCTTCTCATTTGACTATACACCTTCCAGTGCTCGGTGTGGATTCTACTCTTCACCAAGCTGCCTTTTCGCTGAGTGGGTGGTTCCAAGGGAACAGATGTGCCCAGGGAAATACTCAAGAACCAGAGAGGGAGGCAGGGCTCATTTTTCTATCCGATCCCTCGTGAGGCCTCCTGTAGGAGAGCTGGCATTCAGAGGGTCTGACCCTGCAAAGCACAGCTCATTTGGCAACGGTCCTCCTTTCTTTAGATTTCTTTAAAAGGTTAGAAAAGAACTGGCTAAAAACAAAATAGCAGGAGCCTGCAAAGCCATGCCCATTATTTAGTCTCATTGAACACCCTGCCAACAGATTCCTTTCATTACATAATTTAAGAACAAACCAAAGCTGCATTGGGTGGAAGACAAACACACGAGGAAGGACACTTCCACTCTCTCCCTCCACCAGCCAGCAAGTTCTCATAGGTGTTTTTGTTTGTTTTTGAAAAATAGGTTTTTATTGATTTCAGAAAGGAAGGGAGAAGGAGAGGCAAAAACATTAAGGATGAGAGAGAATCATTGATTGGCTGCCTCCTGCACACCTGTCATTGGGGATCCTGCCCACAACCCGGGCATGTGCCTGGACTGGGAATAAAACCATAACCTCCTGGTTCATAGGTTGATGCTTAAGCATTGAACCATGTCGGCTTGGCTCACTGGGTATTTTTATCCTCTAGAAACAGAAGGGAGAATCAAAGGAGGTTACAGAAACACACAGACACTGCCCTTGGCCTTAATGTTCTGAAAGCAGTGGCGAGAAGAAAGACATGCATGTATAATAAAGCCAAATAATGCAAGGCACAAAGACCCGCTAGTATTTGGGGATAATGTTTTCAACGTTCAGATTATAAGGACCAGATGGCCTTTATACTAAGGTTGTCTCTGAGTACAGCATAGACCCACACATTTAAGACAAGTAGCTTTATTACTCCCTCTAGTGACTTTATGAATGATACCTGTGGACACAGGGATTCATATCCAGCACTGACGAATGAATGAACAAAGTCAATGCCTGTGTCAGTAGAATTCAGAGTCTTGTTGGCAGAGCGCTCAGCAGGCACAGGGTGGATGGCTGGGTGCAGTGCTGGCTCTTTTTTTCTCTCTCCTGCATCCTCAAGAGACTTTCTGAGACAGTCTGACAGCCTCTTTCCTCTCTCCCTGCATTCTAGGCACTATTCCGAAAGGCAGGAAGGACAAGTAAGTGTACCTAGCATCCATTTACCCAAGCAAGGCCTGTTTTAAAGGAAAAGCGAGGTCCACCATCACACAAGGACACAATGCGCAAAGCTCCGGGTCAGGGGCATGGATATACGTGCACTGCCCTCGTGCATGCAATGGGACGAAATCCTGCTAAAGTCTCAGTAACGCTAACTCCCCCAATAACAAGGCACAAGGGGTCTTATATGAGACATAGGCTCCCGGGTGAGTTGAGAGCACAATGGCTGACGTGTATTTCCTTAGAAAGTTTGTAATGAACAAAACAATTTTGGAACAAATAATGTCCCCTATCTAGTTACCATGATTCACATACTGGGAGAAGATTTGGAAGGCTAAGAATGCATGAGATAACTTGCAAATGTTTTGGAAAACATATGTCTGAGAATGTATGCCAGATATTTTACAAAGTATTAGCTCAGTCAGCAAATGCACATGGCTGTGAAACAGAGGCCTTGGTGGGAAAGAGAAGGAAACTTCAAGAAAAACATCCCTTAAGGATACATACGATTCAGTTTTAAAATACAAGATACATGGAAATACTTAGGGGCTGATAAACTCAGTCATACTGAACATAATAGGTCAGAGAGAGGATAAAAAAAAAAATGGCACTGCCAAATGACCCCCCTGGCTGGGCAGTGACAGGCAGGCTGACAATTAGGAAGGTGAGGGAGAAGGTGCTATCCCTGGCTTTCCGCCAGGAAAGAGGAGTGCATTAATATCTGAAAAACTCAAAATATGTGCTCTCAGATCCAGTCCTGGAACTTCTGATCCAAAGCTCGGAGAGGGCCTCAGGCATCTGTATTTCGGAAAAGCTTCCTAGTTGTCGGAGCCAGCAAGCCAAGGTGGAGAGCCGCTGCCCTCGGTGCCTGGGAGAGCTGTGTCTCACACCCAAGCAGGCCCTCACAGAGCAGCCACGTGGGGTCCCTGCACTGCTGTCGCAGCATTCTGTTGTGTACGTGAAACTCTGGCTTTTTTTTTTTTTTTTTTTTTTTTTTTTTTTTTTTTACAGCCCCTTATCTGGTAGAAGACAAGTGAAAATTAATAAAAACTTAAATATGAAGCCCTCAGTAAAAAGGAGCTGGAGCACCAATCTTCAATTGGCGAAAGAATGAAGAGCAGCTGCCCCCGCCCCCCAGCCCTGTCACTGTTGGGGCTTACCTGTCCCTCCTCTCGTACGCAAGGTCCCGGTGTGAGATGAAGAGTTCACACCCCCAAAGACGGTGAGTCCTGGGCCTCCGGCCGCGTGGAAGTTGTTGTAGTTTGGGATGGAGGTCACGCCGAAGCTGGGGTAGTGCTGAGGAGTGGGGTCTGTGCCATAGCGGTACCCGGAGCTCTGGTTCAGGCTGCCATCCCTCTCCTCCGTCAGTTTTGTTGCTTCTTTATCCTTACATTGCACACAGCCCATTATCTAAATTCCTGCCAAAACCAGAAAGGAGGTGCGTGAACTTGGATGCTCCTTCATTACCGGTTGCTTGACTATGAAAGAGGCCCTTGGATATCTCCAGCCTGTGAGGGCATGAGACAGAGCAGTGGCTGGGGTTGATTGTTTGAAGCAATCACAGTGCCCTTAACTTGACAATCACATTTGTTCCCCATATGCTCTGAGCGATGGGATTAACGCAGAGTTGATGATCACCACACAGCAATTTTCCTCAAATGCAGTCTGCACACCTTAAAATTCTGTGATATCACACACTTGTCTGGAAGCAGCCCAATAATACTTATTCTTATGCTACCTGAGGCCTGGTGCATAAAAATTCATGCACTGGAGGGGGCGTCCCTCACCTCAGCCTGGCCTGCCCCCTCTCACAGTCAGGGAGCCCTTAGGTGCAGGAGGCAATCTGGCGATCAGGGGAAGGCAACGCCCCCATCACACCTCTACTGGGGCCTCTACCAGCAGCACAAGACTTTGCCGGCCCTGGGTACCTGAGACTTGGGTGGCCCTGGGCAATGGGCAGCCACCATCTGAGGCTTGCCTACACCTCAGGCTGACCCTGGGTGGCTGGGCGGCTGAGGGAACTGGGGGACTTTGGAGGCAGGCATGTGGGAGTAGCCGGGCCCGCCTTGGGGTGGCCACGTTTCTGCCACCCTGGTGGGGCTGAGGGTTCTAGGCACTGCCATCTTGTAGCTGTAGGTGCTACCATATATGAGGGCATGGCAGTCAATTAGCATATTCCCTCATTGGCTATTGGCACCACCATCTTTGAGGGTGGACAGTCAATTAGCATATTCCGTTCTTATTGGCTGTGGGCACTGCCATCTCTGAGGATGGGGCAATCAATTAGCATACTCCCTCTTTATTAGATAGGATTTTTAATAATTTCCAAAAGTAACACATGCTCTAGAAAATGAGTCTACCACAGTATTAGAATAAAAAACTCCATCATGGCAAAGGACATTTAAAGAAGAGGGTAGAGCCCTGCCCATTGTGGCTCAATTAGTTGGGCATAACCTCATGCCTGGAAAGGTGGAAGTCAGGTCTCATGCCCAGGTTGGGGTTCGGTCCCAGTGACATGGTGCATATGGAAGGTGGCCAAAAGATGTTTCTCTCTCACATCATGGTTTTTTCTCTCTCTCCCTTTCCTTTCCTTTATCTCTAAAATAAATAAATAAATAAATAAATAAATAAATAAATAAATAAATATTCTAAAAGAGGGTAGAGGTGTGTTGGAAAAGTCCAAATACAGACCCTAAATGTCTCACCTTCTTCACTCAGGGTACCCATTGTTCAAGACTCATTTGGTAAAATTTTAAGCAATATGATAATTATAAGTATAAAAAAGAAGCTATAGTTGCTGGATAAAAAGCTAAATTGGCAGAAACTAAAAGGTCAAATTGTATCAGGAACAAAACTAAAAGCTGCAACTTAACACCTTACATTTCCATTAGTTTTAAAAAAACATTTAAAAAGCCATTACCATGTTCGAGGGGTAGTGGTGGATCAAAAACTTGAGTCTCTGCCACCTCACCCTCCTCCAAAGCTACTTCTCCTGAGCTCCTAATCAGTAAATGGCACCAGTGACGACCCAGTTGTTCAAGTCAGAATCCTGAGCAGAGTCCCTATTTGCTTTTTCTTGTTTACTTCTCCCTCTTCCTGTCTCACACTCTATTATCCAAACATTCTGAGCTTCTCATGTCCTCAAAGGTTCCATTTTTTCTGCTCTCCTATAGGCCTTGGGACATGGCCTCGAATGCTCTTTCCCTCTCCTCTTTGATCTACAATAGATCCTTCAAGTCCCAGATAAGACACTGCTTCCTCTGCAAAGCCTTCTCTGATCCTCCCCATCCCAGGCAGGGTGTGCTCTTCTTAAAGCATCCCCATGGCATCTCGATTTGCCTCATACTGGCACCTGTTGTGCCATATTAACATGTGGCCTGTTCATTTGTTTTACTGCCCGATCAACTGTGAGCTCCAGGAAAGCAGGGCCCTGCCCATTTTTGTCATAGCTATATTGCCAGTGCCTGGCATATAGTAGGTGATCAATTAAGAGCAACGGAATGAGTGAAGATTCTCTAGCCCACGGTGTTTCTCTTTCACCCTTTCTTTCTCTCTGCATCAAGACCAATCGTTCTTTCAGTGACTTTTATCAGAAGTTTGCCCTGCATTTTTTTACTCTATTGGTGTGCGTGAGAAGTGAAGATGATTCAGAAATTCAAGGCAAGTTGGTTAAATGACCCCATTATGGACTAAAATACCCTGTCACACTGACAGTGGGGAGATAGAACATGCAATGAATGTCCTTGGCAAAACTCTGAGAAGTGGCCCATTTGGGACCAAAAAACCAAATAAGAAACACATGACATCATGTATAATTACATATATTCACTGGGGAGGGCACAGCTGGTACAGGATGAGAATGGGCTTGGTGCAGAGAAGGAGAATGAAAAAGCTAGCTTTCCCACAGGATCTTGCAAGCCAAAGTGGGGAGTGCCACGTCAGACATGGACGCTCTGGGGGGCACGGTTCTGCGCACTGCTTTTCTGCTGGACGGGGCCCTGGAAGCAACCTCCGATTGTTCCAAAGTCCTCTCGCATTGCATGTTTCAACAAATACTTATTGAATTGAATGTCGGTTCTTGAGAATGGAAATATTTGGAAATGAGCCGCCTACTGCTTGAGCTGAGATCACCAAATCTGGAACACATTTACTTGTAAATCATTTGAGATTAACTTAGAGTATACTGTGTCCAACATGCTCTCTAACTTACGGTAAATGAATATGATTTTAACAAGTTTCCAAAAGGAAATGCAAACTATCTCCAAGGCATGATTTACTGAAGAAATGTCATCATATGTTGTTGGTGTTGCTTCATAAGCCTGAAAAATGTCTTGCTCACTTTAGATTAACTCTTTCATGGTAGAAAGTCACTCCAAGCTTCTACAAAGGACAGAGAGAAGACACTCTTGTCCCGGTGTTGTTTGTCAGGGATCTCACTGATGTACTGTGCCTCGAGGATGAGAGACCTGAATCACAGAATATCATCCATCACACCAGTGGTTCTCCGCCAGGACTGATGGAGGGACATATTTTTTCTCTCTGCATCAAGACCAAATGCCTGGAGGCATTTTTGGTTGTCACATCTCAGGAATGAGAGGAACTACTGGCACCTAGTGGGAAGAGGCGAGGATGCTGCTAAACACCCCACAGTGAACAGGATAGCTTCCAAGGAGGAAGGGTTACCTAGCTCTAACTGTTAAAGTGTGGCAAGGCTGGGAAATCCTGACTTATGGAGGGAAAAGGGTATACCTTTGAAACGATATAACGGCTGTTTCCCTTACAGGTATATGATTAGCATGTGACCTGGAAATCATTTCTTAGGAAAATAGGCTAAAAGGAGGCAATTAAAAAAATAGACAAGAAATGCTCTGATTTTTCTCTAGAAGCTTATCTCTGTGATAGAGAAAATAATCTAAAATTGCTCTGGCCAGTATGGCTCAATTGTTTGGTGCGTCACCTTATATAGCAAAAGATTGCAGGTTTGATCCCTGGTCGGGGTCCATGCGGGAGACAACGGATTGATTGATATTTATCTTTCACATAGATGTCTCTCTCTCTCTCTCACACACTCCCTCTCCTTTCTCTAAAATAAGTAAAAACATATTGTTAGGTGAAGATTAAAGAAAAAAAATCAATGAGAACTCTCATATACTACTCTTCCAATTCTAACAAAACAAAACAAACTCTATTATCAGAACCTTGCTGAAAATATGAAAATAGGACCCTACATCTAACCAAACTAAGAAGAAAAAAAAAACAGCCTTTCAAAACCTACTAAAATAAACGAGTAACAGCTTACGTATAATTCTCTAAAATAGTGGAAGGAAGTAACAGTGAGTTCCTTAAAGACAGGGATTATCATTATTATTTTTGTTTCATTATTATATGCCTAGTGTCTAAGACAGTGCCTTGCATGCTGCAGGAGCTCAATAAATATTTGTTAAATGTTTAAATACAAAACAAAACAAAACCAAAAAACAAACACACCAAACTCAAATCATCTTCGAGAAAACAACTCTCTTTTATAAAAGGGACAGCTCCGTTACCAATTCATGCATTTGGAATTTTGAATAAGGAATGTTTCTGCACAGATCTTGCTTATTCTTTTCCTTTCATTGACAAACATGAAGACTCTGAAATAAATCAGTAAATGCAGGCTCAGGCCATTAAAAGCTAATCACAATGAAAATATTTGTGTAAGAGCTTGTGGTCTTCTTCCTCCCCCTTGGGATGGCCTGACTAACCATTCCCTGATAGAGGAGCGAAAGACGCCATATGAGTTGTGCTCAATGTGACTTCAGGCTCCTTGCCACGAGGCAAACTTCTCAGCATCTGAGTTAAAACAAAAACATTCTTCATTGCGCACAGTTTTGTGGTGGGGCTTTTATGGCCAACGCTGTAGGTCCATGATGAACTAATGCACGACTAATACTTGCTCAAGATATGTGGGGCATTGGGAAACTCTGAGTAATGCCATTCTGAAAGAGCTAGGGCCCTGGAGTTACTCTGATCAGTAAATCACACACCACGAACTCATGACCATCTTTCTCTGCATGCTGCTGTGCCTAGAAAAACCGATGGGCAGGCACTCTGACAAACAGGACCCTGGGCCTGTGGTCAAGGAGTCTAGGTTATAGCTACAGATCTCCCTGTCTGCCAGTCCTGCAAACTGAGGGGCTCTGTTTCTGTAATGCATGTAAAATCTGATTTGCTTACAATTTCTTCAGTTTGGTGGATCTTCTCATATGTGCCAACGGTATGAAGCAACTCCAGGAAGAGTTGCTAAAGAGAGATTGCAAGGATGGCCACACCTTGTTGCTGTGAGCCTGGTAGATGCCACCCATTGACCATAGCCCTTTCTGGTGCTAGGCCATGTGCAGCCCCAGAATCCGTCTTTTCATGGTCCC